CCTAGTCATCAATAGTAATTATGTCCAACAACATTCTGGGGTTTGAGGACATAATATGAAGTTTATTACTTATTTCAGTTGAACCGATTATCAAACACTGGTCATATCCATGGAATCAAAGTCATTAATGATAAAGTTCATACTGTTTCGTAGTTGGTAATTATTGATAACTTTACTACAATGAACATTGATTTGTATCATTTATTTGAAGATTCATGACAAAAACGTGTTTGCAGATAACCATGATGCTCATTGCTTTGTTATTCCTCGTAACAAACTAATTTTCCGATAGTTTTTATGTTTATTCAACAGTTTTTAACACAATTTTGTTACAAATAAGGTGAAATACTACGGAGTAACGTTTCACACCATTTGCAATTATTCCCTTCATCGTGTTTTATTTCTAATGTAGGGTACTTAGTATTTCCTTGTTTAAGGGTATTTAAATTATAAGTATCTTTTACTCGTCTTCATCTACAAAATATTCATTTCAACTGTTTAATGAGCGACTAATGATCAACTGCGTAAGTTTTCTGCAAAAACCTTTCATGATATTTGTTAATTTGAATCGTATTTAATACTTGACTGTAAGCGTTCCTACTTAAAGTCACGGGCTCAGTTAATCAACGTTGAATGTTATCCTCAAAATTATCTGTTAAAATTAAATTACTGATTTCTTTTGACTTTTCCATCGTTTCATATTTTCATGTATCTACACATTAAACCTTATGTTTTCCAAATATATTATTTAAATTACAGTCCACAAAATTTCTAAGGATTTTTGGCTGTAACCATTAGTTTAGATGTTACTTAATTTTTTAATGGTTTTTTGTTTCCTAAATTCCACTTTTTCAGGCTATTCCAGTTCAACATCTAGCACAAGTAGTGAGTCAGGTCATTTCGCTCATGAAATTCCTGGACATACGAAATCACGTCCCAAAGAAACATCCGCGTCAAACCACATTGGGGTTCAGGGATTCAGCCATTCTAGACAACAAGATTCAGTTTTACCAAATGTACGGTCACTAAAACAGCAACATTCCCAGTCAAATTCTAATTTGGCACAAAGTCTCTCTGCTACTGGTGGTGTTGCAGGCAATCAGTCTAGATTAAGACCTCCTTTTTATTCTAATGGTAATGATCTATCTCAACAGAACGAGCTTGCAGCATCATCTACAGGATCTAGTTCAACTTCTTTTGGAAACCCAAGACAGAATGTTCCCGCTAATAATTCTGATAGCAAGCAACACCAAACACAGGAATCAGTTAAACGAGATTCTATGCTCAGTTCGAAAAGTAGTAGCAGCAGTAGCTGTACTCCGTTGAATGCAAACATGCAGGAAACGCGACTGTTCAATTCACATCGGCTGTCTCATATGTCAAATCACCAAAATTGTGCTCCTCCTCCTCCTCCTCCACCACGAATTTCAACTGCTGTTTCTGGTTTCACACTCACAAGTCATCCTTAGACAGTAAGAATTATTATACTAATTCTCCTCATTTGGCGTCGGTATTTTGTGGTTAGGTCTGAAATCAGCACTGTCTCTAAAGTGGTTTGTCGAGTGTTCTCAGTAGCACTTAAAATAGATTCTGGTCAGCTAGATGCCTGAACCTGTTTCTACTCAGTTGATGTCTAATCTGAGTGGGCGGCAATTATTTCAAGTCCATTGTTTTATCATACTCATCCACTAACAAGTGATATAAATTAATTATCTAAATCATAACTAACCGGTTGATAACACAACACTTAATACAATATTTTGTTTATACGCTAAACATAAGTGACTTACTAGTTGCCCTGTATCAATGTAGTTACTCAGACACTAATATCATAGTATATGTTGATTCATATCAATGACACAAAATCGAGTACTAGGATTTAAAACCAGTGTTAAATTTTTAGATTAGACTAGCTCCCAGACAATGGGCACTACTTGGTTGATGTTTTACCCTTTCAACTAAAATCACTGATTTTTATCTTGTGGTCCTTAACTCCCTTCTATTTAATGGTTGCACTGGTAGTCATTAGTAGAACTTCCAGTCACCATTTAATCTAAACATGTAACATATATATTTCAAATTAATCTATTAATACGAGTTCACTATTCAATAATACTACTCAATGCTTTAGTTTGCTTGTAAGAAAGATTAACTTTAACCCAGTGACTATTGAATCACTTTTAACTTACATCTTTCTGTGAAATGCTCCAGGACTATTTGCTTATAAATACATTAATTCCTACTTATTTGTTGGGAAAACTATATATATATATATATATATATATATATATATATATATATATATATATATATATATATATATATATATGGCGCTCACAAAAGTATATATTTCTGTGTGTTCATTAAGCTTATTTCAGTGCATAAAGTATACTGTTGATTCATCTGTTTTTTTTTACTCGTTTCAGAATTTCTATCTTTAATTCGCCTGTATCTGTTTTTGAGTATAGAGCCTGTTTATGTTTATAAAGAAACATTACACTATCGTTTGTCCTCTTTTAGTGAAATCTGGAAAAACAGAATTACCGTGGTTTGGAAAGATTTTTCTACCTCATCCCATCTCTTCTCGAAGGTTTCCAAAGAGATATAATTATTTTGACCACTTCGTTGTAATTACAGTGATATGTGATACTCGGATTTCCATAATATAACCTCATTTCTTCACAAAGAAGCTCATCCACAACTCAGGCCATTTTTCCGATTTTATACTCATAAAAGTTTTCTCCCTAATATATAGTTCACTCACGCGTTAAGTTGTATATTGTGCAATCATTAACATTTTAAAATACCCTTTTTAACAAAAAAATATCAACTCTTCTTGTAATCAATCTCATAGTCTACCTCGATGTATTGCTTATCATTTATCTAGTTACAACTTATTGTCTTGTTCTTGAAATGAACTTCCATATTATATATTATGTACCAATCCTTCGTTTTTATCTCATTTCCTTTCTTTCTTTCTTAACTAACAGAATGTGCTTTATTTAACCGTATTATTCAGTTACCTACTCCAGAAATAATTTTTTTCCTTAAATTCAGTTGTCGTTACGTATAATATTTGATTGATACTTGAATCATTTACAATTTTTAAATTAAAACTTTCTAACTAAATGGCTCTTTTATTTCGAGTATTTCATTCTTAGTACAGAAATCGTATTCATTTATTTATGTTAATGCAAGTAAGACTGGGTTTTGTAAAACTCTTGGTGTATAGAATTCTTAATGGAGGAACCAGAGCGCATTGATCTACTTATGTCGAATTTATACTAGGTAAGGCACCTATGTTACAACTCAGACAAGAAAAGAGGATTAATAGTGGTGACCAACGTAGCCCAGAAAAAAATATTTACAAACCGGCCAAACGTCGGAAATATAGAGGAAGATTAAAAATAAGTGCTACTTCACAAGTGAGTTTTCAAATTGCTAGGTCCTGTTACATTTAATTTGTAATGGATGGTTTATTTCGTTTTCGTGGTGATTCTTTTAGCTGGTGTTCATCTAATTTATCTCTCACTATGAGCTATTCTCATAAAAAAAATCTTGTTGACTTCTTTCGATTCTCGAGGCAAAAAGCCGTAACAATCTTTAATTCAAACTCACAGTCACTTGTTTTTGTTAAGGATAAACGTTAATTGTAAATAGGAGTATTGTCTACTTTTGCCTCTATATCAACACACTGAGAAATCTTCCTGTTATTCATTGTCAACGGTCTTGTTTCTTATTAAATATATACCTAACAAATTTCTGTGTTTATATAGTCTGATGATGCCTAAGACTAGTTAGACTCTTCGTTTCAGTGAGGGTGTCTCTAGTACTATGTTTAGCCCTTGATGTTCTCGACTTACTGCTAAAATCGGCTACCAAACGTCAATAAGAGCTGATGGACCTCTGAAAAATCCATTTATACTCACTGACACATGAAGTCCCATTCTCTCTGGGATAGTATGATGAGTAAAAAAGTCTAGTTGTAGACACACTGAAGACCTTTATAATAATCGCAAATAAATTTCGGTGCTGTAGGGAAGGGGAACCTGTGTGATGTAACTTAAAAGAAATAACAGGATATTACCGGGAAGTGTTAGTGAGCTTTTATGATGATGTGTTGAGTACCATGAGGGACTTAACGATGAACATCCCTAAATTCCCCAAGATCGATATTGAGCGTTTAGCTTATCAAAAAATGAATAGGTGATTGGTCTTTAAAGTTTTCATTCTGAAAACTACGGTTGGTTGTTTGTAGTTACTGGTTTCATTTACAAGTATTGTTTAGTATGTAGGAATTAGTGGTTGGTTTCTTAGCAATTTAATTCGTAATGAAGACTAAAGATTGTCTATTAATAATCACAGTAGGACTGTCTTGGTGCTTTTTAAGATTTTCGGAGAAGCTGAGTAAGACATGTGTTGAGAAAGACCAGTAGATAAGGCTTGATTCGCTATGAATGGTTTAGTTTAATCAGGCACTACTTATTGGTATTCGATAGTGTAATACTGAGTATTATAAAAGCTTGAAATATGAAATGAAGGTTATTCTATAAATTAATCACTAATTGAATTATTTGGGAAGACATTGGATTTCTGTATTCAAACGTCAGGAAGCAATGGTTAGATATTGCTTGCTTTCAGTTTCCTACGTATTTTGTTGTTCATAAGTTTTACTTACCTTGAGGATCCTAGCTTATGTAATACCATGGCTATACGCGTACTTTTTCTGGAGCAGTTAACTGGATCAATAGTCTTTTTCAGATCAATCATATCGTCTTACCAAATATAAATATATACATTCCACATTACTTGAGCTAATTTTTATGCCATATGCACTACGCAGTTACTAAGCGTTTTTAAACTGTTTAACGAAACTGAACTTCTGTTTCATTGAGATTGAATAATATCTGGATTACCTTCCAAACTACTCAACTCATTACAAATAAGATTGGAAATTCTGTGTTAATGCTGCATATATTCATCCTTTCCTATTAGCATAATCAATTTGTATGGTTTAAGTTCATGAAAGCTTCGTAATTGGCTATTTCTGATTTTCTCATAATTTCATTTAACTGATATATCTATAATAATTATAACACGTAAAGCAAAGTGAAACGATGCAATTTTTTACAAGTATGACAATATCATTCACTATTAGTTTTTTTAAATATATGATCAAAAGTTTTCGCTAGAGGGTATGGAACATAAATGATTAAACTTGGACATATAGGTATTTATCATCATGACGCGTATATTTAACGTTGAGAAATGAAATCAAACCATTTGGTAGAGAATTTAATCATCTTAATCAATATGTATTCACTTTATGCTTTGATCATGTAGGTATTTCAGTAGTAAATTAAGTGAGGATTCCTACCATATGTCACCAATCCTGTGTCATTAAGTACAAGATATTAATATGCCGAACTATGTTACAATCAGTAAACTTATTGAGATATTTTGATTGACGCCACAGTATTCATGATTTTTTTTAACTCACATGTTCCTGTGTACAACACAAAATCACTGATTGGAATAACTTTTCACATTCCAAATATCATTCTGTTTAGCGTGCAGAGATATGCCAAATCGAATAGTTCAATTATAAGATTATACAAATAATATATAGTGTAGAAATTTCTTAAGTTTGTTCAAATTCTTTCTATCCTAAGAATAATAAACTTGAGCTTGGTCTTTTTAGTCATATAATCACTAAGAAAAACAATAAACATTGGATACCAGACTGTGTGACCGTTGTATTTATAATAGACACCACTAAACAGACTAGGTTTTATCAGAAATCTTGAAAATCGATTGAAACTTATTATAAAATGAACTAAACTCCTGAGAAATAAATAAACAGTACAGAAATTCCTGTGTTTTTCATTATTTCTGCCTAATACTATTCTATTTTCCAATAAATAATATCACATTATCAATGCTTAAAAGTAAGTTAAATTCCTAATTTCATTAGTATTTCAATCTTATAATATTTTACTTAAATGAAGAATATTGATGATGGTCAGATAAATATGAATTCATTTATTTAGCAAATTCTTTTCAACATCTTACAAACTATAATTAATAGTATTAATGAATTAAAAACAAAACAACATACATAATTTGAGTGAGAAAAGTTGTGATTTAAAATAGATATGATGTCTAAATGTAGATTATTAAAAGTCATTAATTATGAATGAATTAAAAATTCGTTTAAATGGCTATCTATTTATAAATTGAATATCTGAATGTTCTAGAAAAGATGACTGTAAAGAGCATGAGAATAGTCTTTAGAAATGAAAAAACAAAATAGTGTAATAGCTTATATAATACTTTAGATATCAGAAGTAAAATTGAATACTTGAGTAAACTTCTGATTATAAGTGAGAAATAAAGAATTATAAATATGATCATAAGAAAAGCGGTTTCTTAGCCTACATCACTAAAACAATGCAAGATTAGTAACTGCCTATTTTTAAATACATAAACTTGTTCTAAATGTCTTTATAACAATTATTCCAGGATAGTATAGAAATTAGAAAAAAAAATTGTTGACTTTTAATTCTCCTCAAAGTTTCTACCTTTTACTAATCTGCATGTACATTTCATACCTATTTTAAATCACAACTTTTCAAATCATTAATACCATTGTTTCTAGTTTGTAAGGAACTGAAGAGAATTTGCTAAATAAACGAGTTCAAATTCATTCCATACCAATCATTGTTTTTATTCTATTCAAGTTCATAAAAGGGTGGAATTGTGTGAAATCCCTGCAGAAAAATTATTTTTTTTGATTTTTAATGCTGATAAATTCTGTTCGTAAATTACGAACTAAGCGATCATTAACTGTTTATCTGCTTTATGTTCTGAATAAATTGCATTGACTGAAAGCTTTTTCCCTAAATCTATTATCTGGGTAGTAGACCAATTCCGAAGTGAATCCAAATTGAGGATATGGACAAAGAAAGATTAAACTGTTATACAGAATGCACAAAATTGTTGTGGAATGATAATCAGGTTCTTACTAGATGACTTAACATTATCATTGTTTTCACAATATCTAAATGTTTTAGCAAGAATTAAATTACTTCTGTTAACTCCTGAAATATGAGGGGAGAGTTGTTTGTTGTTATGTATGAGTGCCAAGTAGCACGAAACCCGGGTCCAGGGTTTCCTGTTGACTACCTCCAACCACCATCTAAATCTCAATATATAGTGCCCGCAGTGTCGAATCACCTAGACTGGTGGCCACATTGCAACATGATCGATAGCATTCGATCTGCACTAATAAGGACTAGACAAGCATGACATTGATCACCACCCAGTGATCAATCAATTGTGGTTGTTATGTAGTTCTAGGATTATTTTTTATTGAAATGTATTATCAAGTGATTTTTTTCGCATGTTGCATACATTTTAAAAAGTTTTTACTTACTATAGATCTTTGCTTCGCGAATAGTGCTCTATCTTCCTCATTACTTAAGAATTCGCTTTTACGTGTATTGATCGTTGCGATGCTCTAGAAAAGTTAAAAACAAATTTCAAGAGAATTTTTGTTAAATAGTATAATTGTGGGATTTACACAAATTTCGAGTCATTTTTAAAGTCAACTGGTTAATAAAATTCTTTTGAAAAATTGATATATTCAAATTTGACATGTAGTCTGAGAATTAATTAATAGTGAGTTGGTTACTCTTTAACAAAAAACCGAGGTCAATCTGTGACGAATACCACCCACATATTAAACCAGTCTTCGCAAAAATTTCTTATCAACACTATGATGGCGTGTTCATTAGTTAAGTACTTCCAGATAGGTGATATTGAGAAGCGACCGGTGAAGATTAGATATTTTAGGAGTGAAGCAGTCGCATTAGTGACGTTAAACGACCGTCTCGCAATATCATGATTTGGATGAAGTTAAGAAGGAAGATGCATTCAGTTCGAATCAGCGATCTAAAAGTAACATGCTCTTCAAGAGACCTGAATGTCCTGGGTTCACTCTATGGTGCGGTCGGGGGTGCACATTTCTGAGTAGTCCTCTACTACAAGGAAACATATTTCCAGTGCTGTATTATCTCATCTGAGATCAATGTATAAAGAATACCGCTTACGAATTAATTTAACCACCACAAAAACTATTTCAGAAATTTATGTTATTAAAAATAATGAATGCATTTGGACAAGATAAATTCATTTGATTACATAAGGTTCTCATCAAATTCATACAATCATTAAGGTCTAAATACTAGAATTTACTGAGTATTCATTTAATTTATCATAATGACTATTAAATAAAGGTTGATTAAGGCAGTTCAATCGGAATAATTATAATAAAGTTACTACCCTTTAAAATGCGGACAAATTTCATAAGTATTACTTGGGAACTTTAACAAACATTGTATGGAACTGGTTTTAATCACTTAAAAATGACATGCAGTTGGAAAACTAAATATACATTTGAGTGAGAAATAAAAGCAACCATCTTTTAACATAGAATATTTCGGTTATTTAGATGAAATCGAGTTTTCTTTGAAAATATTTAATGATTTAACTACAATCATTTAAATGGTCATTTTATGTAAATTCATTATCTAATGAATGAATTACTCAAGGTATTTATTTGCCATATTTTATTAAATGTTAATATTGAAATCAATATATGAGTACGATTTTCCAAAAAAAAATTATACCATTAGTTCCCTTTATGTATTTTACTTATGTCAATTGTTTCATACTATTTCTTACCTTAATGTAAAATTCTAATACAGATTTGGTTGTAAGCACCTAATGAGAAATGATGAAATATAATGAATTCATATTATTCTGCATCAATATTTGTTCTGGCTTTATTTAAATATTAGTACTAGCTGATTAAATGTCATAACTAACAATGTACCTAATATAGGTTATTGCGTGGAATGAAAATGTTGCTCACACCATCTGGAATAGGATTTAACATATTATTATTAATATATATCCTTCTTACTAGTAAAATATATATCATTACAGTACTTGATTTATTCAATTAAGATTTATGGGGTTGGCTATTGTTTAAGTTAAGCAGTTGCTATTTTTCTTTTGTTGAAAAATTTCACTTAAGTGTTTTACAAATAAAATAAAAATTCACTTAAATTTGCATTTTGTCAAGTAACTCTTTTCCCCAGAGAAACTAAATTTCTTGATGACCTTAGCAACTATTTAGATGGTGGTTGGAGGTAGTCAACAGGAAACCCTGGCCCCGGGTTTCGTGCTACTTGGCAGTCGTCAGCATGGTGTACCTGTAATCCTGAGAGAACTGGTGCTCCCTGGCGGAATCGATCTCGTGTCACCCAGCTTCACAGTCAGAGACGTTACCACTGAGCTATCCGAGACGTGTCGAGTCACCTAGACTGGTGGTCAAATTGCAACATGATCGATAGCATTCGATCTGCACTAATAAGGACTAGATAAGCATGACATTGATCAGCACCCAGTGATCAATCAATTGTGCTTAGCAACTATTCTTTACTAGATCGGAGAGACTTCATTAATAGTCTTGTAATTATTATTTAAATTGTAAATAATGAATATTTATTATTACATTATATATATATATAATTATATAAATGCCCTGGTACGGCCGAGAGTGGTGTGGGCCCTCCCTACTTCTCGAAATGCTCCCACACGGCCACGCGTATACAGCCTCTGCTAGGGAAGTCCTACTCATTGCCTTCTCGTGGCGGCGGTGTTGTCTACGAAAATGAGAGGACGAAAAGCGAATGTCCGGCGCTTTAACCGGATCCCAAAACAATGGTGCATATGGGGCTCCAGTATTCTGAAGGAACAAATGGCGTATGAACCTATTGTTGGTCACCGGCTACCATGGGACTGCATCTCCTCACGATGCTCCACTGCCTTGTGTATCAGATCTTCAGGTCAAAGGCTCGGGGTGTGGCTCTCTAAGAAAACCACCTGCTTCGGTTTGGACACCCAGGCAGTATCACAGCCCACACACACACAAATATAGTGTGGCGCGTATATATTTGGCGCCCTCTTGTACCAATATTTATGTGTCGAAATAAATAAAAATAAATAAATATGATTTGAATTTTGATTATTTTCCAAAAATTGGAGAATTCAAATTAATGTAATTAATTTTCATGGAACAATAATAATAGAATTTACAAAATGTAATGAATTCATTGTAGTATTTTGAAATTCATATAAGTCAATTGGAATTTTAGAAGAATGTTGATATATATTCCAGATTTGATAGATAAATTATTTATCACTATGGTAGATTTTTAGACAGCGGATTAAAATATTGTTTAGACTACATTTATATACAAATTTAGTACACTAGAAAGATAAGAAGATAGAAATCTACATATTTTGTTGAAGAGAATCTAAAATATTTCCTCAATTTTGTTGTTAATAACATCGATAAATATTTGGTTGTACATCTGTTGTACATTAGATGTGAGGTAAATTTAACAAGTGTTGTGTGTGCTACCGATCTCGACAGATATAAGTAGTATGTGTCATCAATTGAACGTGAAATGCTTGGAGAACGAGAATAGTGAATGATTGCTGTGGAAATGAAGGAACAGTGAAGTTTGAGGTGATTGCTCGATATTTGCAAAAGGAACAATCAGTTTTGAGATAAGTGATTGACATTTTGCAAATTAAGTATTTACTGTATAGATCCCAGATTTTACTAACATGTTCCGTAATTTTGTGTTGAAATTCATTCGATTATCCTCATTTGTGTTCTCGTTCACTACACAAGTACGTTCATATAATCAGTAAGGAATATGATTTCTAATATTCCTAGTTTAAGATGAGACTTTTTTATTTAAAAAGAATAAGTTGACAACTTTTAATTGAACCGTTAACAGATGAGCAATATGAACAACATTGTTGGCTCTTCTCTTAGCTATGATTATAATGTATTACATTTATCGAAATACTCCCCATTAATTGCGTAGTAAAATTATTTCTAATACTTGAAATATTTATGAAACTCATTCCCTCAAAAAAGTTTCATTTCACTTTCGCTTCTAAATTAATTCATTATTATCTTGTGAAATACTCATTATTATTTATTATTTTTATTCTAACACATAGATATTGGTACAAGGAGGCACCAAATATATATGCGCCACGCAAATCTCATTTGATATGTGTGAGGGCTGTGAGGAGATGCAGTCCCATGGTAGCCGGTGACCAACAATAGGTTCATACGCCATTTGTTCCCGCAGGATACTGAAGCCCATATGCACCATTGTTTTGGGATCCGGTTAAAGCGCCGGACATTCGCTTTTCGTCCTCTCATTTTCGTAGACAACACCGCCGCCACGAGAAGGCAATGAGTAGGACTTCCCTAGCAGAGGCTGTATACGCGTGGCCATGTGAGAGCATTTAAAGAGGGAGAGCGGACTCTCCTCACTCTCGGCCGTACCAGGGCATTTGGGGGCTTGAAATATTCACCCCTTAAATTGCAAGTATAGTAATATTTATTGAAATATTTAACTTATTGAATTCATTTATTGGTATCTAACTGAAAAGGATGCAATGATATAGAAATGAACTCATTATACTCTGGAAAACCTTATTAGAAATTTGTCATAAAAAAGGAATAACAGGTTATTAGTTTATTCTTCAACTGTATAATAAATGAAAACGTTTTCCATAATAGTGTTGTGAAACTCCACAAGTGACAATTAAATATAACTTAGTTATATTATCCAATAAAAGTCAGGAAATAATGTAAGCCATCAAATAAATGAAGATATTTTGACCTTTTCTAAAGAGAATTACATACAATATAAAATGACTGACATGCTATTTTGCCTATATCTGTGATGCCTAAATATTTTTAAGGTCATGAATTTATAAACTTGTAATTTCAAACATGTTACTAACTGATTTCTATAGAAATGCTTATTGTTTTCTTACACGGAATCTTGTACAACAGTTAATAAAATGAATATTTTTGAAGCTCAATACTTGACCAAATCCATTCCTTTATTATTGCAAAATATCATGTAAACAACTGTTTCTTTTTGTCTATTAAAATACTTAACTGGCCTGTCTTTAGTCAACAGATTATGATCTTTTTTCTCAGTCATATTAAGCTGAATTGATTTAAGTAGTAAACGTTTATATTCAATCAATTTAATATTCGATACTATCAATCATCAACAATCCAAATGTTTATAATGGTTCATATTAGAAAAATTACACGATAAGTATAATTAAACCGTTTCACAAAAGTAATATACGATATACAGAAAATAACATTCACTATTTATTTTACGACCTCAATTCTTATCTTTCTATGGTAATTAGTTATGTGGCATGTAACCCATAGACATATTATATTGGTTGAATACTTTGTATACCTTTGGTTAATTTACTAATGATCTTATGTCCCACTAGATATGAAGTCAGGGCTTGTAAATATGTTCAATCGGCGAAATCACCGATGAGTACTTGGTTATTGGTGAAATCATATACTTTTTGCCTTATTATAAATCGACTAAGGACGATCGTACCTCAACTCGATCCCTGAGAGTTACCCTGTTTTCACTGATACTTTAAAGTCCTGGACTTGATGCCAAGCTTTGTTTGACTACATATTATCGAGAAGTTTCAGATAGGACGAAAAATTGTCCATATTTCCAACTAATGTCATGGCATGTTAAGAACCGTGACTAAATAGCTTAGTTAATTGCCTACAATGCCGTTTTATATACACCAGTATTTCGTCTTGTTCTCATCAAGCCAAATAACTTATTGCTAAGTTCTATCCGTTATTTGTGTTTGGTAGACGGTTGTCTTACCATACACGTTCTGAACATCACTGACAAGCTTCGATTACAAGTAATTATGGAAAAGATTATGGAAGATTATTTTTGGCAGAAATAGTCCATTATTCTTAAGGATAAAATGGATTTATAAAGGAGTTATAAAGATTATAGATCACAATGATCAAAGTGTATACTACTTCATATTTTCATATCTGAGCTCTTTAATAGGTATACAACAGTACACACATAACTGATACAAGCGAATCGTAGTATGTAGTACATAATAATTATGCCATTGATAATGGATGAACTGTTTTTTTAAAAGTAATTACATTTATTGTATTTGGAAACTTTTACCTATTTTATGTTCAGGAAATTATCAGTTTAAACTCTAGTTTCAATGAACCACAAAATGATATATCATGGTAGAAGTAATGTGAAGTAAGTAGTGATAGTTCAACTTAAACAAAAAGAAAACATGTAACTCAGAAGATACCATCAGGAGTGAAGAAATGATTCTTCCACTATAATTTAAAACTGAAGAGCCTGATGAGTATGTATCCAAAACCATGTATCACTAACTTATGTTCTATTCTGAGAAGGGTAACTCTTCGTCATGAGTAACCAATATTCGATCGTGTGCACAAAAACAGATTAAAATAGAATATTTCAATTTTTACAGAAAAACCATTATGTATACTCAACATATGTTTGTGTTCACCCAGTCAAATATTATGCATCAAAACTACAACAATATTACGACTAAGTAAAATATTGTCTCGTTAGGCAGTGATCATTAGTTAAGTATTCTATACATTATTTTCCAGTTAACAGATGAGGAAATAGCCATTTGTATAGTCGCATAATTAAAGGTGATGAATAAGAATAAGAACTAAACCTTATAGTTTACACCAAGGACTGGTCTTAACTAGACAGTCACTAAAAACACGAACGCAACAAATGGATGTTTCGCCTTAGTATGCAACTCTTCAGAATCTTACATTCAAAAAATCTTCTGGAGAGTGTTTAACATTAAAACTGCTAAGTTGGGATCCAACGACAGTCACGCAATAATGCGGACTGATTTATGTTAAAGACGTAAAACGATAGGTGCTAACTCAGTGGCCTGAAGGCTAAACACTCCATAAAGTTAGAAGATCCTGAATCCAATTCCAAATGGGTTTGTTGGTGTGAACTTCTGACGAGTCACATACTAAGACGAAATAACTATCCAGTTAATGGTTTAAGCAGATCGAATGCTATCGATCATGTTGCAATGTGGCCACCAGTCTAGGTGATTCGACACTGCGGGCACTATATATTGAGATTTAGATGGTGGTTGGAGGTAGTCAACAGGAAACCCTGGCCCCGGGTTTCGTGCTACTTGGCACTCGTCAGCATGGTGTACCTGTAATCTTGAGGGAACTGGTGCTCCCTGGCGGATTCGATCTCGTGTCACCCAGCTCCACAGTCAGAGACGTTACCACTGAGCTATCCGGGTCACGACTGACCTCCCGTAGGACTGAGATGTAACCACAATTGATTGATCACTTGGTGGTGATCAATGTCATGCTTGTCTAGTTCTTATTAGTGCAGGGTTTCCTGTTGACTACCTCCAACTACCATCTAAATTAGAGACATGTTTAAGAACTCAGGTTATTGACTAGGTTAACTCTAACAACCTGTTCGTCACAGAGTATATTTACTAGGTAAGTTATCATCGAAATTTTATACTTTTGTTTGCGTGCATGGATTTTATTGGGAATTATTTACATATGACTCACTGGAAAACACTAATGATGTCATCATTTGTTACCTTAAATTCTGTTTTAATATTTGTTGTTCCACTGAAACCATTTTTGTAAGTTTTGATCGACTTACATCTTCACAACTAAAACGACTACGGAGGGTAAGAGAAAGAATGTACAAGGAGAAAAACTCAATCAAAGTTCGTAAGCTAAATGGTCTAATAAGCCTAGAAACTAGACGTCTCAACTCTATGTTTACTTAAAAACTCCTGTCTTGTAAAAACTCTCCAAGTATATGGAAACTCTTTAAAGAACTTGCAGGTGACAGGTACATTAGAAGCTATAACCAGATGAATGTATGTGACTTAAATAAGTCTTCTGTACGTCAGTCATCTGATGTAATGCTCCCAATATCTACAGGTCTGAAGACAATTTCTGTTCCTAGTTTCACTAAAACTGATTTCCGAAAATGTCCCTAGTCACTTAATTCATCACAATGTTTAGGACCTGATGGTATCCCAAACATTAAAAAAAAATGTACTGACGCTCTATGTTATTCACTTAAGCTATTGTGTGGTAAATACGAATGTACAGCTTAAGTGAATGATTTTGTTAAAAATAAAATTGTCTTCACTAAATTCTCTTCACCTTTATTCAATGACACAATCGGTTATTTAAAGGTATCCATATATGTGAAGACATAGTCGATTAATGATAATGATAAAATAAAATTACTAAAAGATTATTAGTTGGAATATATCCGTCTGAAGTTCCACTAAATGTTATAATCAACAAATAACATTTAAATTTCAATGATAGATGGAAATAACAAAAGAAAAATAAATAGAAAGAGAATTAAGTTTGGCAAAATAATTACTCACTAACTTTTGATCTATTTGATTTACTGAGTTGTTGAGTTGAGAGTTGTTGAGAAAAATTACTCATAGATCGTTTTTTGCAGTCATCTATAGAAAGAAATTCTTTTGTCAAATGGTTTTAAAATACTATTCAATAGCATTTAACATCAAACTGCAAGCTTTCTTTTAAAGTATATAAATCATATATTCATTAACGACTAGTTTTTTCAGGTAATACTGCAGTTTTGGCTAAAAGCTATGACCAGTGAAGTGTGACTATTTTGAATGTGTAGGAGTTATCCAGCAAATATATTGGAAGATAGTTGTGTGATATTGCGCATTGGTTGATATTAAACATGCGAACCAATGGATGCCAGATCAGTGATCTGGAAGTTATGTGATTGCAGTTGGGTCGAAGGTTCTGGTTTGAGCCTTCAAGGTCTGGAGTGGTGGATGACCACTACTGATAGGTCCCACACTAAGACCAGTCAGTGATATAAACTATAGAATAGGAATAGTTTTTCTGAATAGTTAATGAGTTTAATTAAAATAATGATCATTTTGTCCTAATTGGGATAAAGCGAAGTCATTATCTCTCATCATGAGAGCCTCTCAAATAAGTTTAACATTTTTCCACACTATCAATACACGTGCTAGACTACAAAGCTGTTGATATAGACTTTGTTTTAAAATGTCCTTCTAAACGGTGTCTTAGAATTTGTGTCGTTATAGCAGAAAAGCAAACACTGTATAACACAATATAATACCAGTATCTTTTCTGATTAGCTTCAGTACACACGAATTAGTTATCTAAAGACTTGACATTTACCAGTGATTTATAATCCATGAAGTTGTGGATCACTTATTTTTTATAAGTGATACTATTTTCGCTACCCAATAGAAGTTATCGATATTCGTACATCTGTATAGCCGATTCTGATAGTGATTATGAACAACCCTGTCGATAATAATGTTTTTGGTGAAATACTTATTAAAATAGTTACTTTAAGACTTCCATCACAAATATTCAGTGGAATGAGTTGTATGATGAATGTTTAGTACATCAGCCAGTTTTAGACGTTTTTAATTTACTGGAGCTGTAAATATCTTGTCTACAAGAATGATTTTGTTGTGGAGACCAATAATATAACAGCCGAGTAGACACCGCAACAGATTATACAAAATATATGAAGTTGGTTTTCAGTAGCTACGTAAAATGGCGGATAGTTCAAGCTTTCTCTATATTGACATATTTTGAAGAATATCAAGTTTAAACTATTCTGAAAAATGTATTGGTAAGAAAATGATCTGAAATAATGTTTTGCGGTAGTATTAAGTAGTGATCAATTAGTTTTCAAGTGGCGTTAACACTGCATTTATGAGTAAAACAATAAATCACGTTGTTCCAGTTTTTATTTAGGGACTGATCTACATTTGGTTGAGAGTTGGCCAGTAGCTTTCTTCACATTTTCAGTGTTTTCGTTTTACTTATGATGAATAGGTCTTCATTACTTCCTCAGAAGTGTAGGCCATGGAGTTGTTTTTGATATTTACTTTGAAATTCGTAATTGTTTTTGCTCGGACATGTCCGTGGAGCCATTCCAATATTTTACTTGATTTATTTTGATCGAGTCTTCCAAAGTATAGAAACCAAAGAGGTATTTTTTAACAGTTTCGCCTTTTCATTTGGCTACATTCGTTTAATTGTATGAATTCATTAGCTGACAGTTTAATACAAAGAATAAGGACTTGTCATACTTAGCGCTTGGTTAATAAACTTGTATCTCGCGAATTTCTGGGTGGTCTACACTATCTCATTGTTACGGATCAGTTTGAAAACTTTGCTTCTATTTATTCAAATGCTACCCATTAGTTCGCTAATCTAGAAATTGTGATGTCTCACAGATGAATCACATAAAAATCGCATACATGATGACTAACATGTTTCTCAGTTAAGCAATATTGGCCATTTCATGGTGTGATGATGAAATACTGCTTGAAAGACATTACTTATTATGTACTCATAAGTATACTCCACTAACTTTTATTTTCAGTCACTAAACTGTCCCATTTTTGTTTTATATCATTGCTATTTATTACCGGTTATGTTTAGTATCATTGTAATCCGATTCCAATGTACTAACTGAATCGTTGATTCTCTTTTTCTCTTCTTCTTCTTCTTCTCACTTCCAGATTTTTCCATATACGCGTCTATGCACTTCCTTGACTCACAATGTACCTTAAAGCTAGACAAAAACCTAATAAAACTAAGAACTAGAAATCTTAAAAACTTCAACCAGCTATTAATATTGACTTTGTCTGATTATCAATGGTTAGAATCCCAATTCTATGCCTATCTTTGCGGATAATTTGTATTTATGAAAAAGTGATTTATTTATAGGTCGTGGCTGTTTACTTGTTAATCCCTAGATATGATAGAACGGCATTTAATCATGCGGTTCCTCAAGTATCCGGCCTATCAAAATGGAGAGAAAATAAAATTTTCATTTTTTTTCAAGCGTTTCTAAACTTCAGTGAATTTTATTTCACTAATTTTTTAAATAAATTGTCCTTTGCATAATTCAGCCCTATTCTTTTGAAGCGTTTGTTTTATATGAGCTGATTTATTGCTAAACGATGTCCAGTTGTTTGAATGAACAGTTCACTTTACAATACTTGGTCAAGTTTATTATCTTTAAATCCACCGGTATGCTATTTTTTAGAATGCAGACATTTGCCATTTTATTTTCCTGGAATTTAAAATTAAGTTCCTTAGTTATCGAATTCATATTTAAGACCTATTTATCGACATTAATATTGACATGCTAAACAGAGTAAAAATGTGCTGTTAATCTGTGAGCTTTATTTTTATTTTTGTTTGATTATTTGTGGTTTGATACTATTTTGCATCCGGATAGCGGTTTAAGCTCATTAATAAAATAATTTTAACCATTTGATTAGTAGTTAAGCCATTTGAATTATATTCAGCTATGATATGGAGGTTCTGTAAGCAAGTGCTATTCTAATCAACTTTTTTTCCGCATTTATCGGCTGTTTATTTCGTTATCATAAATAAGTATTCTAGTTGCTAGAATGTTGTTATAGTTGAATGAACTTTGTCCATTTTTTTCTAAAAAACTGAAAGAAATGTAATCTAGTATCAGGTGTTAATAATGTAGTCAATGGTTCAAAAGATAGTTGGGAAGTCGCTGGCATAAATATTTGACACCAATAGTTAACTTGATATAAGTTTACCATTGACATTAAACGATATATTTTCAGTTTAGGGGGAAATACATAGTGCTTCTAGTTTATGTATTTTATTTGTATAAAATTTTTGGTGTGTTCATTGAATAATTCACCTAATATTTTTGTATAATACTCGTGTAATTTTGCTCTTTACTTTTTAAGATCTTTTAGTTTATAGTATTTTAAATATTCATATCACGTATGCAGATAGTATCCGCAAATTACATTTAAGAAATGAGGTTTATAGCTTAGCACTTAAATATCTACATGATTAGTTAACCACACGGTTTAAAGACTGGTTAAAAATCTATTCATTTGTTTGGGCTGTGAAATCTCTTTTGTATCAGACTAAGTAATTTTGATTGTACGAAAGGTTAAACATTCACCTGGAATTACCTGGACCGTCCGTTAATCCACGAATCTGGTTTAGATATTTTAGTGCACAAACTTCGTTAGATTTCTGGAATTGAAAATTTGTGGATAATTTTCCTGGGGTACATGACCTATGTCTCTGTCTCCTGTTTTGCACTATCTTCTTATCTATCGAGTAAATGACAAAATTTGCATTTATTACGAATATGTACTAGCTGAAGTAAATTTTTGCGCTGGTAAACAAAGTAGTCTAGTAAGACTCACAATAATTATAGCGCTTGAGTGTTGATAAATACTTCTACTTGTTATGCAAAGTAACAAACTCTCTCTTTATGAAACAGTTTAGTGCGTAACAAATACAAGCGGCGCTTATTTACTTCCCTTATTTACACAATATATGAAAAACACAAAACTCATTCAAAGTCTACTTTTTATGATAAAGTTGAATCACATTCGTATGGTTTGCTGATTGTTTCTGGAAACGTCACAGAATTTTTAGAGTTTGTCAAAACTGTTAACGTAAATGTTAACTTAAACCCTGAATAATTTTACATCCAACACAACCTTTAATGGTGAAGCAGTTAGTGAAACGCTATAGTTTTTCAATTTTTGGTTCAGAGTGATATTTATTTAGTTTTCTGCACTAAAGACATCTTAGTCACTGAATAATGACGGTGCTTTTATATTCCTCTTGTAGATCACCAACGTAGATGATCTATGTCGAAATGATTGGAGGCCTACTCGAGTTAGACGTGAATAGTGTGACGAACCAACTAACGTCGAAGTCACACCTCGTGGTTAGCACGTTACGTGGGCTACCCCATTGACGTATCAAGGTACCACAGATGCTTTGAAGACTGTACAACACAGAGGGCGTTATTACATAAATATATTAGTTAAGGTAGATACAAGCGAAAGTAAGACCACTGCTGCATGGGCCAGTCCATGGCATACGATTAACTAATGCGCGTTTGTTGTACCTGACCTTGGCAGGATCGATGATCTGTTCGACATTCAGTGATCCAACTGCCAGATGATTTGGCTAGGGCTCAGTGACATTTCACTGGCCCTACACTCTTCTCAACATTTACATACAATATCACTTGATATGCTGTAGCGTATACTCAGACTTTGGTACAAGTCTGTGATATGATACAGGCCACTTATGGGGATGAGCAGATAACACACTGTAGTGATACATCAAAAACTGTATAATGTGTTTTCCAGGACTGACGTTTACTGAATGTCTTGATATGATATATTACGGTCCTCGTAACTAGTCCCATAAAATACTTACAAGCATTTCAAGCCTTCGTCTCTGCTCTTTATCATTTACACACACCCTCTAATGGCAGATGGTCTGTTTGAAAAAAATATATTATTATTTCAGAGAATATTTTCCAGTCTTAATTAGCACCGAAGATGAGCTACTGAAAATATTTGAGATAATGGTCAATATAGTTTTCAAGATACACTCCACTTTTTGTGTTCATGAGTAAAGTATTACCGCAAAACTCGCTATTTTTGTCTTTTTTTTCATCAGCTTTTTTATCCCTTTCAGAGCCATATGGCTCTGAAAATTAGGTGAACTTATTCAGAACTATCAAAAAGAAATTCTCAAACTGGAAATTCAGCAAATAAAACCATATTAAATGAAGAAAAACTAAACCTCACTTGGGTCAGATGCTTTTCTATTCTGTGTTAATTTGTCATTCATACAATTACCATGATTAATCTGGTGAACATTCTTCCTTAGCAAATTGTTCTTTGAGTTACTTAAAAGAAACTGAGACTAAACTGATCGAAAATCGTGAACAATACTTCGTTCTTAGCGTTTCTCTCAAGCCACATAGGAACAAGAAATGAATGATGGATTTTTTAATTAGACAGTGTCACATAGGTTCAAAAAGTTTCATACTCGTTGTCATGACAACCGTAGTAAATCTGAAAAAAACCTTAAGTATTCAAGATTATGAAGTGGCGAACATTTTCTGTCAAGGAAAAAAGCACTTTTTTAACTTTCTGGAGAATACAAGTTTTTAGCTTCTTCCGAGGGTTTCTGTGTTACCATTTCAAAGAAGCCGAAGTCACAAAAGAAATGTTATTTGACTAGATTATTTCACATGACCGATCCCAATATATTCCATTGGTATGATATTAACTGAAATTAGCTATTAAAACTTTGATAAAGACCTTTTTGCCCACCTACCTTGGTCAACTTTTGCATAAAAATCGTAAAATTACTTGGTGTAGCATAGTATAATCATATTGATATTAAGCTACCTAAAATATTGTACTCAGAAGAAAGGTGTAGATTCAATATATTGTCGACGAAGAAGGATACAGTATTAGCGGCCAGAAACCAATGCATATGTAGGGCCATTGAAATGTCACTGAGCCCTAGCCAAATCATCCGACAGTTGGGTCACAAAATGTCGGACAGATCATCGACCTTTGTCAAGATCAAGGACGGCCAACGCTCATCAGTTAATCGTATTCCGTGGACTGGTCCATGCGGTTTTGGTCTCACTAGCTTCTCTGTACTTATTGTTACCAATATATTTCCGTATTAACATCCTTTGTGTTATACGGTGTCTGAAGCAGCCTTAGTACTTTGAAATGTCGAAGGGGTAGTCCACGTTAGATGCTAATCGCGAGGTGCGAATTCAAAGTCAGTTGTTGGTCACACCACACCCGTCTAACTTTAATAGACCCCCCAATCACTCGACAGAGATCATCAACGTTGGTGATCTACATATATTTTTGCTTGAATACATTCTAATAATTTAGAAACTAGTCGAATTGTCTCACTTATTCTATAGAATAACAAGATGTGGCATGATGACTATGTGTGAACTTCCACCTAGTCACGCTTATCAAGATTAAAGGTGTGCTTCATATCGACAATAACTGTGTATGTTGATGTGCAATAAATATATGCATATACATATCGTAACAGCCCAAATTGAAATCCAAATTTTTGTAACGGATTGCATCTCTTCTGCGGGGGTTCATCATTTGTTTGTCAGACTGTGTATGGGATGTGGACTCTTTATGACAGGGAATGTACTCGTTAGCATTGGAATTACCAACCGAAACCGGAAGAGACTCACCTGGTTCCTGGAAGTGTATTTGATCAATATGTCGGTTGTGTGTACTTAAGTCATAGATATTTGCAAGTCAGGTTATCGATCTACATCATTCATGACCACAGTTCTCGTTACTGGTTGAGGACCATTTTGCATGATACGCAACTTCTGAAAACTCTAAGCGCCTAATATGCGAACTAAAAACCCTTCCTTCTAATAGCTTCGGTAGAATTTCTTTCGTTACAGAATGTTTAGCATTTATATAGTGCGATAGAAACGTGTCCGCATCCCTCATCAGTTCATTAAGTGTCGAAACAGGAATAGAATAAACAGCGGCTTTCAATGTTCTGACGACATTTTCTGCCTGACTATTGAAGAAAGTGTGCCTAGGAGCAGCGAATACATGTCTGCACCCTATACAATTAAACCAGACAGTTGTAGAAGCCGCTAATATGTCAGTTTTACATGGGCTATTCTGCCTTCCAGACTGACTAATTTATTCATTCTTCTTGGGTCACATTTTGAACTCTTCAGTTATTCGCTTATAACTATGACTACTTTTATATGGGCGTGTGCAATAAACCGTTATCCTGCTCACCACATATCTAGTTGGCTCACATGCCTTCTCCGATTCTCTTCGTTTACTCGATTGTCTACCCTTGTCAACAATTGTGTGGAATATACTTATTCGGAACTTACACTTGTATTTGACTTACTTAATTCCCTTATTTACTAACGCGAGTTAAGTCCGTGATTATATACGAGGGTATCCGGGGTGTATATTTCAATAACAATCATTCATGCGATCAAACTGTTAACAAAATAAAGGTCTACACTAAATAATGACTGCGTCTGGAATAAAACGAGAGCCCATATCAGTCACTCATACCATAGGAACCCCAACCTGATTGGACGATTCTCTTAATACTTGGATTGTGAAGTCGGAAGTTCTTGAATTTGTGGAAACATCGGCCGACTTAGAAAAAGAAGAACAACGAGTGCATAGTATTTGTGGGGAAAGAGATCACAATGGTCTCTATGGCATCTCTGCCAAGCCACAGACGATACGGACCATGGAGTCCACTTCGAAGGATGATTCTTCGACCCCTGACATCTTCCACAATTGTTCGCCGTACGACATATATCTAGATTTACCTTCGGCCACCAACACATGAGCCTTGCAAGGATTTTATTTCTTCACTACCCAAATGTCTTCTACCCAGAACTTCAAGTACAGATTTACGTATTAAAAGATAAATAACAGCATCATCATTCCCAAACAAAATACCATCAGGAGTAGTGGATAACGCGTCCTGCTTTGTAAAATAGACAGGGATGATTGTGATGATTGTCCAACATGTTGAATTTGTTTGGAGCTTCTATGCCGAATCGTACAGTCATAGAGCACCTAATAGTGAACGTAGCTTTTTAAAGTTTTTGGGGACCATGCGCTTGTCAGTAGCTCTAGTCGCCTTATAACTAGTTTAAAACCATTGCCTTCAACTAGGTATCTAGGACATTTGGAAACGGATACACAAAATGCACGCTTATTTAGATTCGCTGTAGTATTCCTCTTAATTAAGTGACGCAACAAAGCATCAATTCTTTGATCATGAGCTACTTTATCATAATCAAGTATAGTAAGATCATCTTCATAAAGTTTAATACTTCCAGGTCACTGACTACATTATCCATCACTTCCTGAAATATAGCTGAAGAACGACTTAGAAAAAATGGCAGGAATTTTTATTTTAATGAACCAAAAGGAATGCTAATTCAAAAACGAAGAAGGTCAACAAGAACCATTCAATATCTAGGTGTATAGGACAAGCTGATAACCATATATAGACAAATTCGAACACTTCACTTTAACCTGAAGTTTGTGCTGATGATGTCGTTCAGAAGAACGACGGGAGCTGCACGACTAAAGCATCCAGATCAGAGAACAAAACTCCATCCAGAACGTTTTTGTTTGAATGTTATTTGTATAAGTTAGAACTATCACTAAATGAATAAACAATTCGTTTTCATTTCAAAAGCTTATTAGTGTTATGAAAAATCTCAAATCTCATTGATCATACCGGGAAACGTAAGCAAGCTTTAAAAAATGAAGCCACTGAAAACTTCTTACTCGGATGACATGAATGTAATTAGCTAGTCATCGAGCAAGAATAAGACAATGAAAAGGGACATTTGGTCCATTTGTTCACACATATAGATTAGGGTGATTTTACTGCGATTTACTATAAGCGATGTAGTGAATTCACAAACACCACATAAAATCTCCGATTCTATGGAACTGTGCTGTTTTCTTTATCTATCCGCACATGAGAACAACACGCTTCATTGACTCCACCACATATTGTACCTAGACTCTTCAAATTTGTTAATATAGCCTAAAGGGAAACTTGTTGTTTATCAGTCATGGATGTGTAGCGTGGCGTCGAGTTGAGATTAACTGTGAACACCGCTACCAAGAAACACGTGCCAATTAGATCAGAAGGCGTAAGAAGCTCGTTCCAAATGACTCCATAAAATCCCCGAGAAGCCGAATACCAGAAGGCAATTAATGGACCAAGTCGATGTTTATTTGCTGGCGATCTCGTGGCATCGAAAGGATACCGAGATCGTGCCTGGATACAAGCTTGGTTACAGAACGTAACCGAATTCGCGCGAAGTTACAATCAAAGTGTAAGTATAAGAATGGAAGCACAAAATAGCTGTCATTAGCACAGTCAAACAAAGCACGTTAAAACAAACACTGGTACAGTTGGTTATAATAATAATTGTTTTTATTAAACCAGTCGTGTTCTCGTGATAAACGTGAGTCACTACAGATGTATACAGTAAGACGTGGAAATAAAGCACAAAAAAACAGAAAACGATCAACGTGTCAAACTCTACGATCTGTTGCTTAACTATGGTAATTGCTTGTTGAAAACCACTGTAAGTTCAGATAAACAAACCATCATTCGACGACAAGTTTTTTAGTCTCGGGGACACAGTTAAAGTGACTAAATGGTTTGATTTGTCTCAGTATTGCAGTGATAAATAACTCTTTTAAATATCCCTACAAAAATGTGGCACTGGAATTATTATTTTGCTTTCAACAGGCACCACTAGCTGGAAACGCTTTATTTAAGCGTCACTATCAGATTAAGGTACGATTTGATGTGAAACATCCTAGAAATTCAGTTTAGAGGTATCATATTTCCCCATCTACGTCTGCAGTCAAATATATGGATTCACCTAAGCATTATGGCGTTTTTCCTGATTTGCCTTCTGAGGAAGTTGTTAAATGATACGTAATTAAAAGTGCTATATAGCTCTTTCAAACCGAATGTGTCTTCAGTGTCACTTTGGTGACCTAAATGTCTGCTTAGCTTGTTATTAAGAAAATTAATTTAATGCCTCGCCGAATTCATGGAATAAAAACAAATGGCCTAGATGTTTGACAATACGCCTTCAGCTGATTTCGGTCATTATAGCTATAGGGACAAAAAACGTTTGCCCACCTATTGGGTTGATTATGCTGGGAAATCATCTACATAGATAATAAGTATACAGAATGAACTCACATCTAATGATGGAGGAAACTAACGTTACACACAATTGACAATAGGAGCAA